AGCGTTTTGTAAGTATCCGGAGTGCCGTTGGTGTCTCACGAGAACAACACACTCAAGCGAAAATGAGAGCATGTCTGTGGAAGGCATTTAAAGAGTTCGATATACGGTTGTGTCTCTCTTCGAGGGCAGCTCTTGTTTGAGGGGAAGCCAAAGGCCCTCCTCGCATTGTTGGGCTCAGCATCTCACTTTACGAGTTGCGCTGGCCAGACGGCGCACAACGGGCTTTCTGGCTTTCGCCCTGCATAGTTCACACACCAACCTTGAGTTGCAAACAAGTTGCAAACACACATGGGTGTCCTTGAAGATTGTCCTTTCAAAGGAGCCAAAGGCAAACCAAGCACCGGAACCCCCGAACTGCTTTTTCCCAATGTCCAAAACTCTAGGTACTGTCCCAAAAAGCATTCGTTGGAGGGCGCTGGCAGTTTTGGGGGGTCAGCACTTTTTGCACACATTCGGAGATCCCTTTCTTTTCAGGGTATTCTTCTTGGGGTTGTCAAGGGAAACCAAAGGAAACTCCGCCATTTTGGGGTCCCCCTGTCTCGGACGGACTGCGCTGAGGTTCGGAGCCAGCGGATTTCTGAGCCTCTGAGGTTGCGCGGCTCGGGGGCCCAAGGCTTCAACGCGCGGCCTCGGGGACTGGGGGACTGGCCATGGGCCATGGGCTGCCGTTGGGAGGGGTACGGTCCGGCCATGGGTTCCGACTTGCCAAGTAGCTGCGGATCGATCCGCCGGGTTCCGGTTGGAACAGGGATCAACCCTTAGAGCAGCTTCCTGGCAAAAGCTGGCTCCAGACTCAACTGCCACGCGCTTTCTCTCAAGGCGGGTTTCGCTTGGGTTGGGGTTTCGCGCTTCAAGCGCGCTGAGATCTTTGTTTGAATCTGTTTCGAAACGACTTTGCAGTTCAAGGAATTTCTATTGCTTGGCGGCTAAAAGCTGGGGGCGCAACACCTCGCAGGATCCTTTGGCCGTCGTGTTGCAGACATCGATGCACCAGGTCCGCGAGTAGTATTTGCCGAGTTAGACGATCGAGGGCAGGTAGCCTGAAGGGGGGCATCAACAGATGCCAGTGCACTGTTTTTAAATGCAGTGTAGACGTGATACCCCTTTTTCAACAATTATGGAAGTGCATGCGAGGGTTTTGACACGCGACCGTCATGTTGCAAATGCCTTTTGTCCACTTCAGTGATATTCAAAGGAAATCTTTCCCCCGTACCATTTGCGACCATCAGCTTGTTAAGCTTTTTGCGTGTTTATGTTTGTTCAAGATGCTGTCATGTGTTGTGGCACATTGTTGCTCATTGAGTCAGTGTGACCCCGGGATCAATCAAATGGGCATTTGTCTTGATAGGGGTTGTGCCAGTCCATCAAAGACTTTTTGGTCTCCCCATCTGAACAATGGCCCAGTATAGTAGTATTCGGGTGCAACACATTCTAGACCGTACACAGACTCAGGGTCCCACAATTTTTAAACCAAAGACTGCGTGGAGGAAGCGGTCTGCTTCTCAGATCAATACAAATTGCTCTCCCACCTGTGGAGAATTCTCCTTTTTGAGGACAAACACTTTGTCCCTGAGTCCCTGCACTTCATATTTTTTGGGAAGGCCAGAACACCAAGGCTGGCTTCCTTTTTGCTTCCTTTGAAGGCAACCAGCGCACAAAAAGCGTGACAAACAGCCTCAAGAAAACAACCGGACCATCAAGTGCATCTTGTGAGGAAACGGGGAGCCGCATCTTTTGTTTAAGGCCGCGCTGAAGTGGAACATGAACTCGCCCTTCTCCTTCTCTGAAGCTCCTGACGAGTGCGGAGGGCGGTTTTAGATGCACCGGGAGGGATTAGGCGGGTTCGGTTTTTTGGATCCCCACCCCATTCTTCTGGGCTTGCTGTATCAGAAACTTTTTTTCTTTCAGCGGGTTGGGTTTTCTAACCCAAAAATGGGGCTGTTGCCCATCTGATCAACAGGCACTTCCTCCTGGGTGTTCAAGGCTAGGTGCTGAATGGCCCAGATTCGTTCCATCTTTTCTAAAAATAAATTAGAGGGGATGGCAGTTGCTGATATTTTCCACACCTCCTTTGCAGCATCCAGAACTGCAAGAAACCCATCTGTTCAGTGGCATTATGCTTCTCTGCTTGTCCATTTGATTATTTTATCACCAGCCAAGGTGAAACGAAATGTCCAGGCAAAGTTTGAATCCAGGAATCATATGCCTGCTTGCTATTCTGAGCAAGCTGGAAGGGGGGGACCCAACACCCCGCCTGCCACAGTTGTTCCCAAAAGCAAAACTCGTAGAAACTTGTGTGTTAATCCATATTAGTTGGAAGGGAGGAGGCAACCAAGAAAGGACTCCCATGTTCATTATTCGTTCATGGTAAACATATTTCCTTTTGCCCAGTATGACTTTGTTCCTGGTTTGACCAATTGAACTCTTGGAAGGGCTCGCATGAATCATTTTCTCCCAAACACATTTGCTCCCAAACACATTTTCAGTTTTGGTCTATTTCTCAGGGCGGCGCTAGGGGGCTTTGGGGTGGGTCTTTAACGAGTCTAGACGAGTTTTGGCCAAGACTACCCGGAGTGGTTTCCCCCCTCCCTTCCTTTCCACGAGAACCTCCGACAATGGAGCTATCAAGAAGCGAGAGCCTTTGGCTCGCGGAGCGGCCCATTTTTTGGCAGCATTGAGTTGGCAGAACTGCGTCTATTTCAGGACCTGCCAGTTGCTTCTTTGGCAACGACGGACTTGGGCACGGGGGTTGTCCTTAGCGGGGATTTGGGATTGATCACCTTGCAACAATCTATGCCCACACCTTTCCGAAAAGTGATTGAGTTTCCTTTTGGTGATCCGGTTGCCGGCTCTCAGCATCTCGAAGAGGGACGCCAAAAGTCGAGATGCCTCAAGCACGAGCCTAGCCCAAGAGCTGTTGCGAACAGCGCAACTCAGCCAGACCATACAGCTTTAGTTCAGACGCCACAACAGCCAAGCGCATTTGTTGAACCTTATCACAGCCGCCGGCTTCTTCCAGGCTTTTGGCGCAATGGGATCCCAGGCTCGTCTGAAGTGACATTTTTCCGAAGTGAAGTGGGATGTCCAAGGATTTAGCCGTCCTTTACAGGTGTGAGAAGCAAGCGCAATCCCAATGTCACATCCGATCCGAGTTTTGAAGGCCAAGAACAGAACACTTCAGCAGCTGACTCGGAAGTGAATTCCGAGCCACAGACCAATTCGAAATTGCCAATAGAGCATGAGTCAGGAAGTGAGATTCTCAGTGCGGGCCAGCGGTTCAGATTCCTCGACTTACTTGGGGTGCCCTCGCGGACGAATTGCAAGTTTAGGAACAAGATGGACAGCTTGTACGGTAGTTTTCCGTATTTCTTTAGGCTTGCGGCTTGCGTGCTTGGATATGCTTGGTTCACTTTCTTACATTGCCACTGAGGAGTCCTGGGAAGCCATGGTTCCTCTCAAAGGGACCCTCTGACAGTTTTCAGGTTTTTGTATGCCACGGCAGCCCTGGCCCGAATTGCTAGGCGAAGCTCCACATGCTGCGCCGGCCCCGTTTGGCCCACAACCCCAGTGCCGGGGGGAAGAGTGGGTTCTATTGGGGGGGATGGGATTCCTTAAGGCGGCAATGATCAACTGACAAAATCTTCAGTTGGTTTTGGGGAGGGGCATGGACGTGCAGCCCAAATTACCCACAAAATCCACAAGGACACGTGTCCTCTCAAGGAACAAAGCATATTGTCCGTGGGGTCAGGTGGCATGAAACCCGCTTTTCAGAATGGGGCTGACTCAACTCCGGGATTTCTCCGGATCTGTCGGCGATGTTTGGGCCACCTGGAGTTTGTTGCAACTGAAGATGGCCGCGGGCTACTCCGAGCCCGGCAGCATCTTTTGCTCCTGAAAGGCCGCGGTTCACCACATTGGTCTTGGGTCCTCGTGTTTCCAGTTGAATTTTCTGGGTGAAGGGTGTTTGGAGCAACCATGGTAGCTAGGGGTATCCTTTGCTTGACCTTTCTAGCGGGCAAAGCACGTTGAGTGCGCCCGGATCAGCTGAGTCGAACCATAGGACTCAGATTCAGGATGCCCTTCCACTTGTCTACCTTTGCTCTTGCGAGACTTTTCACCTCGGAGCAACCCTCCTTCACGTTGCAATCACAGAGGATCCCTTTGAGTGACCAAGTTGCTAGTGAGTTTCAACCCAGCGTTCCTGCCCATCTCGATCGCCTGAGAGCATTCATTCCTGTGCAGGGGATATTGTTTTTTCCTTGGGCTGGTCCATGCGCTTTGGCATTTGACCGGATCAAGGCATTCAACAACCATTTGTGAGGGCCAAATCGCATGCACAACAACCGCCTAATCGCCGACAGCACAAACGGCTTCAATCAACTAACCACAGAACCAATCAAACGACCGCACCCAGCCGCATCCAGCCAAACCACTTCCCAGCTGATGTCAAGAAACGCGAGAGCCTCGCAAGCCGAGGCCACCTTGGTCACCCTGGGCTGGTGCTCTGTGCTCATGTTCGCAGCTGGTCGGCAGACCTTATACCAAGCATTGTTTATTTCTGGGGGTTTGTAAGCCAGTTGTTTCCCTTTAGCCTACCACCCGGGGGTGGGGAGGGGGGAGGTGCGACTTTGAGTGCTTTAGACATCTTTAGACCTTGTGAGGGGTACTTGAAGGATGTCCTTGGCCAAGGCTTTGGGAAAGAAGGTCAAGAGGGGCGGCAGCCCAGGGTTCGAGGTCCCATGCATCACTTTTTAGAGATCGGCTGCGGGGGACTTCACCAGCTTTCCGATCAAAGTTGATAAATGTTCAATGCCTGGCAGATTGCATCAGTGCGTGACTCGGCGACGATGATCCAGCCATCTTCTCAAGAACCCCTCTTTTTTTGGTCGCAGACCTTTTTCAGCAGAAGCCGAAGCACCCCTGAAGCCGCCTCATGCATCCTCATGCGCAAGTCTGTTCCTGCCCAGACCACGCCCTTCGCCCGGCGCCTGGACGAATTCATGGCGGAGAAGGGCATGGAGAAGGAGGCGGAGAAGGCGGCGAAGGTCGGCAAGGACGGGAAAGCTCTGGCCACTGTTGGACAACTCGTCTCACTTCCTCAGGCCCTGGACTTTGAACTTTATGGGCTTGGACCGTTTTAGCGACACATATCAAGTTTGGACCTTCTTTTTGGGCCATCCACTCGGGAAGTGAGTATTTCTTCGATGTCCCTTTGCCCAGAGCCACATTTCCACCCAAGTGACATAGTGGGGTGTTTGCAGCAATCCTGAAAAAGGGCTGCGCCTTTCCATGGACAACTTTTCCCTGGACCCTATATGAGTCAGCCAAGCTTATTAATTAATCCAGAGTTCCCAGCATGAAGGTTCAGCCATGGCAAAAGGCTCCCACCAGGAAACCGAATCGGCTTGTATTTGGAAGGCCTTGGAAGGGAAGGCATTGAACACCCGTTCTAGCTTTGAACGTTGGAAAGAAGACCGCCGTGGCTTCGTTGAACAGCCGTCCAGGCTTTGCCTCTTTGATGCAGAAAAGAGCGGTTGCAGCGCAACCGATGAAATCCACGTCCAACATCTAGCAGCGAGGCTTTGGACCTTTGGGCCTCTTCCATTTGACGCATCGGTGCGACGTCAGCGATCTCATGGGCTCTTTCGCGTCATGAGGCCCGATCTTTGTGTCGGCTCGCGTCAGAACACTCCGCGCGAAGTGTTTTCGGGGGTCAGGAGGTGAAGCCCGGCAAAAAGGCGGGCTGCAGCTGCGCGTGTGCATCAACAGAAGGGAAGGTTTGGGTCAATGATAGCATACTAAAACCTTTACATGTGAATGAACAGTGCCCAACTAATATTCGTCTGGTGGGCTTGTTTCATCCTCGTGGACACCCTGCCCTAAGAAACAACCCCGTGCAAACTCCCTCTATCACCATGGTTCAGGCAATCCTCGAAGCACGCCAACTTGTGCCCATTTCTGATGAGGGAGCATCCGCTGCAAACCTGCTTTGATGAAGTACCCGCTTGTGCCTGCCGCTTGGTGTTTCCATTTGTTTGTTTTTTGTTTCAGTCTTTCCATCTGTTTGTCTATCCGTCTTTTTTTGCTTGCTTGCTTGCTTGCTTGCTTGCTTGCTTGCTTGCTTGCTTGCTTGCTTGCTTGCTTGCTTGCTTGCTTGCTTGCTTGCTTGCTTGCTTCTTGCTTGCTTGCTTGCTTGCTTGCTTGCTTGCTTGCTTGCTTGCTTGCTGCCTGCCTGCCTGCTTGCTTGCTTGCTTGCTTGCTTGCTGTGCCCATTCCACACTGCACCCATGCCAGCTGATGGTAAGACACACCTTGCAAGCACTTCACACGTTCCGCAATGCACGCGTTGCAGCTTGCCTGATCGGTGTGTGACGGTTGAGCGCCACGGAGTCCGAGCACCGGACTCTTCACCAGCATGTGCAATCTGTCGGTCCCACCGCAAACCTTGCATGTCACTCTTCAAAGCACTGGTGTCGCTTGGATAAAGACAGTCGGTTGCTCGGGTTGTCCTCAGCCCCGGGGAGGGGCTCCAGGAAATCGGCTCCCTTTGTGATATTACAGGGAGACCCCCGGCAACTGCCCTTTGTTTCCTGACATGTTTTTTTTCCTGACATTTGGTTTTGTGTTGCTTGGTTTGCCCGATATAAAATTTGGGCCCCCAATGCCTTGACCCCGCACAAATCAGGGGATCGGAGTTGGTCCACATTGCATGGTTCCCTTTCCGAATTGTCCCTTTCGACATTACCCCCCTCCTCAAAGGGAGCTCGCTTCAAATTGACCCAAAAGGCCATACTCAAACACACCAAAACGGGAACATAGGAATCCCCGACCGAGGGCTAACTGAAAACCTTTTTTGAACCAAGAAATTTCGCTGTCTTTCCCTGCCCCAAGCGTGTTTTTTGTTTTGTTTCCTCATCATGGACCAGAACAAAGACGTTATATGTTTGACAAAACATACTGTGGATGGACGAAATGTTGCACCACCTAAGCCCTAGAATGTTGATTCACCTGTACATACCAACAAACGTTCTGGTTTCAACCATGGTTTCAAAGTGGTGCGACATGGATTTCGCTTTTCCATCCACACTATGGGGGCTTACTAGGGACCAGAACATGCCATCAGCCATAGTCGACGTGGACATGGGAGGTGCCCAAATGGCTGACCGAGCTGGACGACTTGGGCCTGGTGGTCCCGGGCACCTACAGGACGGATCCGAACCCTATTACTAAACTGGGGCTGAGGTCACGTGGGGCTCTGAACGCGATATGTGCCAAACTTGGGATATGGATCCCGAGATTGACAGCTTTTCCTTTTGGTGTCCCTGTTAATGGGGGAGTTGGAGATGTGCCAAAGTAGGGATTTGGATGCCTACGACGGCTTTCCTTTTGGAAAAGGGTACGCAAACCACAGCTGCCTGCAGCCCGAAGGGCGAGCACAACCCAACCTGCAGTGTATGCGGCAATATGCGGCTGACGTGTTTTGTTGAAGCTCCTCACTAGCCAGCAAAAACATTTGGCCCCAGACTCCCAACGCCAGTTGCCCAATCAAAACACACTGCATAAATTCCGTCAACATTTCTCCCAACAGCGGGCAGCATCTCCGCCAACCCACCACCATCCCCCACATGTCTCGTTTGGAACTTGACGGCAGGTCCTTATGTGTCAGAAAGAGGGTTGGCCCCTACTGCATAGCAACACGATCAGCTGTTTCTTGCAGCGGACTTCTTTTGTTTGGATTTGAAGTTTGTTTTGGCGGGGTGGCGCACGCAGCACAGCTCTGCCTGCACAAGGGCCTTGTGCACATGAATTCATGATAACCCAACAGACGCACGTGCTATATAATGTGTGTGCGTGTGTGTCTTTGTGTGTGTGTGTCTCTCTGTGTGTCTGTGTGTGTGTCTCTCTGAGTGTGTGCGTGTCTCTGTGTGTGTGTGTGTGTGTCTCTCTCTCTCTCTCTCTATGTGTGTGTGTGTATGTGTGTTGGTGCGCCGAACATACATGCGTTACATGGCGTTGCATAGTGTAGCAAAACATAACACACACACATGTATACGCACACACACACGCATGTATACGCACAATATAGATATTGGTGTGTATACGCCTCTTCAGTATGGGAAGGGTACGGCAGAACAATTTTAATAGGTCCTTCGTAGATGTCGTGGGTCGAGATACAGAATCAGGTACGGACATGGATTAGCCAGCCCGGTGCATGGGTGGGTTGTTTGCGGGTGAGATGGCACAGGATGAATAGATGGAGCTGTAGACGTGATGGGATGTGACTGGACAGGATGGCTAAGTTTTGCCGGAGACTGCCAGCGAAAGGCCCTGTTCAGTGGCATTTGTTGCTCAACCCCGAAAAGGGTTTGGTTCTTCGATCAGGGCCACTGGGCAAATAGGGTTGCGTCAATGTAGCAATTGGTTTGTCCATGCCCCAGACAATTGGCCCCCCTTGCTCCCGCCCTGTCAGCGCCGCTTTGCGTTTCAAGAAAGACTAGCATGCGCAACCCCTGGCCCTCTCTAGAAGAACCTCTTTTTGGGGGATCCCTTTTTTTGGGGTTCCATGTTAGTTGTGCAGGGGCTCGGGATTTGTAGGGGAATGCGTCTTGACTTCCATCCAGTCGCCCAAACACGGGCAGGGATTTCATCGACATCGCATTGGAGAAGGGGGCCCTAGACGAGGTTCGCAGTGCTGGGCCGGACGTGATCGAGCAGCGCCCAAACCCCACTACTTGGCCACATTAGACAAGGATTCTGCCCCCCGGTTTAGCAGGAGTTAGTTACGGTGGCTATGCAAACCGTTATGACCTGGTTGGTAGAACCACAAGTGAATTGGTTTTGGGCGCTGCCCAATCGTTCTGGACTCCTCCGAATGGCGCCGCGGGCAGTTGTTTGATGCTCATTCCTTGTGTTCTCTGTTTGTTTCAGCGGCTTCGTTGCTACAGCTACCAAAGCCTCACCGGGCTGGCGAACTAATGGCATGCCTCGAGGACGCCAGCAATTAAATGCCATTCCAACCCCCGTAGTCGCCTCAGTCAGCCCGAGCTGACAAGGAGAACTCAACTTGGAGATCCACATTTGGATCTCTTGAATGTGACGGATGCGGATGCAAAAGGTTAGAAGGTTGCCTGAGTTACCGGGGCTTAGCCCGCAAAACATGAAAAATAACATCGTCCAGGGGGCTAGTGGCCAAGTGTAACGGGAACCCAAGGGGATCCTGAGCTTTTCGGGAGAACACATGCCTATTGATGCCAGGTTGATTGATCCGGAGTCAACAATACTGTCGTGGCATTCATTTAGGGTTGCCCTGCGTGGTCGTTGTTTCTCCTCCAGAATACACTGGGTTTCAGATAAATGAATCAATGGATGGATAGACAGATGGGACAAGATACATAGATCAATAGATAGATGGACGGGTAGGTAGATAGATAGCCAGATAGCTACATGGAGGTATAGACAGATGGATGATTAGCTAGACATATAGAAAAATGAGATTGGATTAGGTCAGCCTCGGTAGATAGCTAGCTAGAGAGATAGATACATAGAACAAGATAAGATGAATATAAATATGTGAAAGGACAAGATAGAGAGAGAGAGAGAGATGAATCATGATAAGGGACATACAACATATTTCTGATATTTGAGAAACCTCCGCCCTCCGGCTTCGTCAGTTTTTTGGTACATGTGCATCTTAGAGGTCAATAGATGCGCAGCAAATACTACTGGAACTCAAATTTTGCTGTGAGGCCCAGCTGCTCCATGTTGAACAGCACACTGCGTTGGGGATTCATGTACAGCAACGGCTTCGGAGGTGGTTCCCGATTAAAGAACCATAGCCATATGGAGAAGCACCTTGAGGTCCTGCTTTGTTGTGCTTGCATCGGTAGCAACTGTAGAAATCCCGCACGTGGAGCTGGAGCTGCAATGGGTTAGATGACGATCATCGCATCAGGGCCTGCTTACCTTGATTTGTTGCCACAGCTTCGTCTCTCTTCAAGCATGCCAGCAGGCCAGCGTGCCAGCAGGCCAGCTGTTTGGCCTGAGGAATGGAAGAACAACCGAGGACGCATCTGGATAGCAAAGCAAGCACTGCAGCTTGATTTTGTTTGGTTTATTTCCAGGTTTGTGTGCTTTCTTGCAAATACTGGATCTGTTGTTCGGGTGTTGCTAAGGATCGTTTGTGTGCATACGCCAATTCCATATATATATATATATATATATATATATATATATATATATATATATTTTTCGCGCGCGCGCGTGGCGATGGTTTCGATGATTTTTGCTCGCCAGGCCCGGACCTGGGCGGAGAAGGCGCGGGAGGAGGGGAACCCTTTGACGCCGGAGGATCTGCAGAGCCTCATCAACAAGGCGGGCAGAAGGATCGAACTCTCGGCTTTAGAAAATGAATGGGTTCCACTGGTTTTGATTGGTTTCAGTCCAAGTACCAGGGCCAGGTTTTTATTTTTTCTCCAAAGGGACACCTATGTTTTTGGAGTTGGTACCCTTTCTGTGGTTGGTTTGAAACTGATGCCAGAAGGAGGCGTGGTGGTTGAGAATTGGGTTTCGAAGCTACTTTCTGTGATGCCAAGGGGCGCCCATTGGAATGCTCATTTTGGATCGCAGAAGGGGTGATTCGCTCACGACATCTCACGACCATTGGGAAGGGACTCTTGGCTATTTCGCTCGGTTGCTTGTTGTTGGCTTGAACAATGTTGTTTTGTTTGGCGGTCAAAGACCAAGCTGGACCTGCAACGTGCTCTCATTGGAGAAGCTTGACTTGGTTTCCCTGGACGTTGCCAATAAATTGGCCGCTTTAAGAGGAAACTGGTCCAACCAGGTGCGGCAGATTCCTTGTTCGACGGTCGGGGGCTATTTTCCTACGTTGCTCGTTGGCTTGACCGAACCAAGCTTATCTTTCATTTCGTGGATCATGACGAATGTTTCCCCACTAACTGTAACATCGTTTATTTCAGAAGGTAGACCAATCCGCGCAACAACTTCTGGGAGATTGGCTGTTGGGTTGGCACTGCACAATTCAGAGACACTTCCCGAAGTGGTCGGTTTCTTGCCTGGTTGAACAAATGGCCCCACAAATGGCTCTTTGAGAACCAGTTGCCTCTGAACAGTAGGAGTCAGTTGTGCTTTTTAACCAAGTGTCCAATCCAACCACCTTCAGCCGCGAGGGGATACATTTGGAGAAGCAAACACTATTGACTCGGCCGGAAATGGCTGTGGGAGAGTTGATGTGTGCAAGGTTCAGATGGGTGGCCGCTCTGCTGGGTTCATCTCGAACAATGCTTTGTTACACAGCCACCGGCCCCGCATCCAGGAATCCATGCGCTTGTTTTTGTTCTTGTTCAGGGCTCGATCAGTGTTTTTGTGCTTTTGTGTTTGTTTGTTTGTCTGTCTGTCTGTCTGTCTGTCTGTCTGTCTGTCTGTCTGTCTGACTGTTTGTTTTTCTTATTTGTCTTCTTTTGGGGGGCATCAGGTATACTCCACCAGCAACATGCCAGTGCCTTGCCTGTTTGCTTTGCTCCGCAACAAAACATGACCCCCCGCCCCCTTAAAGGGGTGGCTTCCCTCCCCGCGCAGGCGCTGACCAAGACCAATGCGGAAGCCGCCAAGCTGTGGCTCGCCGGGGCTCCCAGCCCCGGCAAGGCTGCTCAAAGCAGAGGTCATGTTGGTTTTTGGTAGGCATAGGTGTCCTTTCTGGTTGGTTTGGCTGAAAAAATAGAGGGCCCTGGTTCACCTGGTGGTTAAATCATCTACCAGGTCCATCTATTTACGAAAAAAGGACACCTATGCTTGTAGGTGGTTCTGCTCCCTGCTTTGGGGGTTACAACCTCCAGGAATGATTGAAAGTGGTTCTACTCGTTAGTGGGAGGTTGTAACTAGGAATAAATTGGAAACCATCTTGATAGAACGAAATGTGCGCAGAGTTTGGGCGATGCTCAATTGGAATCCTACGTTAAAGTCCGCTTGCACACGCCCCTATATCAAGGCTTGCTAGCCCATAGATTAATTGCGGGAGTTCAGATATGAGTTTTTAGGTTTGCCTTTGAACACATGAGCACGCTTCCACCACGAAATGAGCAAATGAGCCACTTTGGGAGGTTTCCAAGTAGCTACTTGGCCACCTCGTCGCCCTCAGTGGCTCCAATTTGGGATGCCCGGCGAGTTGGCAGTGAGCTTCCATTTTTGGATTGCCCCAAAGTAGATTCGAACCCGGTATGGCTGGTGTCCGCAGAGGGGAACTCGTGGGTGAAAGTCTTCTTTGGGGCAATCAATGCAACTGGAAGTTATGGGCCTTGCTTCCCATGCTCACGTTTTACGCTTCATGTGAACATGGAAGCTGGCAGCACACATGTCAACAGCGAGGCGTCGTTTCAAGGCCTTGCTTTTTTGCCACCTGAGCTGTGTCATTGCTTGTTTCTCCTGCGTGCAAAAGCAGAGAACACATGACAACTGTGCCGTGTTATACGACATGTACACCTATTGTTAGATATTCGCATATAATACACACGTATGTGAGAGGATGCATTTGCTTCCGGCCCTCATCAGGAAGAGGCGCTCAAGATGGAGGCTGGGCAGTCGAGATGGGTGTGTCGAACATGTGCAACGCCTTTGCTGTTTGCAGGGTATTGGGTTGTTTTGCGGTTCTTTTTCCAGGGGCCAAATTTCTGGCCTTGTGACGGTCCTTGGAGCACTCCTGCTTGCATCATGTCGGCAAAACAGCCTTTCCGATGATGAAGGTTTGCAGGGCCAAGATTTGTTCACAGCTTTGACGTCTTCAGAGATGTGAGCCGCCGCGTTTTAGGCTGAACCTAGCGTTGAGGTAGGGTCAGTTGAAGTAAGAGGTGAGTTTGTCCCTCTTGGCTCTTGGCTTTGTGGGAGCCCAACGCAATCCTTGCAGGGCACCACAGATTCGGTGCCAGATTCGCTGCGTTTGCTCGCCGCAGATTCAAATAATTTAAAGCACCTCCTGGCCACTGGTAAGGCTTGCTTGGAGATGATTTGCTCTGTCTGATCCACATGGAGCGAGTTTTGGCGCAGCTTAGACAACTGAGACTAGCGGAGGAAGCGGCTATGCACTCGTGCAAAACTTTGTTAGCATTTGCATGCCTTCCACTTGACGAAGCGGCCAGCACAAAGAGAATGAGAAGCACGAAATAAAACAGGGCAATCTTTCTGCACTTGCCAGTCTGGGAAGTAATATATGGAAGACTTTGCGAGACAACGGTGGCCTTGTGGGACGTGACAGAAATGCTTCATGCCTAGGTGTGCATGCTTAAACGGCCCTAAGCAGCAAGAAATTATCTGGATTCACTAGGTTCTGTCACAGAGACGTGTGCCCCTGAAGTTGAACTTGGAAACCACAAAGAAGCCCAAGCACGCTTTGCCTGAACAGAGCGAAGGGGCTAGCTATGGTTTTACCCAGCTCGGGGGGAAGAGGATTGCACTATTTGTTACCCTCAGAACTCTTCAGAGGATATGGAATGGGCCGCCGTTTCTTTGAGCGCAACACGCTGGCAAGCTGCCCAGCCCTTCCCAATTTTCCCTTAAGAGCGGGGCCCCGTCTTCCCGGTTGAGCAAAGCAATTTCGTGCTCAAACCGGATGGCCACAGGAGCTCTCTACCCAGGACAAGATGAAGACCACCTTCCTTGCAGCGCCCCGGTTTGAAGAAGTGCAGGGGTCATAGGTGTCCTTTCTACACTTGCTCCCACTATTTATGAGAGGAAGTAGGTTTTCCAGGTACCCTCCACAAATTCAATCTGCGTGGGAGGAACGGCGAGTCGGTTTGATTGAACATGGGATAACTCTGGTTTTAGTTATCGACAAGTGTGGTCGTCTCAAGGGAGGAGCCAGTCAGCACACTGTATGTACCATAACCCACATTGAGGTGCAACCGCTTCACCAAGAAGAACTGTAACTAGAGGGCAATGCTAAGCCGCTTGTTGGCAGTTTCCCTCACGGTTTGTTCAGTGCTCGTCGTTTGCACCCTCGCTTCTTTTCAAAGCACGAAATGTTGACCTCCCTCAGACTGACTATTTTCCAACCCCCTCTACCCCTCCCCTCAAAATAAGCCCGCAACAGAGCCCATTGAAGTGACATGTTCAATGTTTCAAGGGAAACGTGTCCACAACTCCCGCAACATGTAGCCACTTTAAGGGGTCACCCCACTAAAAGCCAACACGCCACCACCCAATCCCGTCAACTGGCTAGGTGTCAACAATTTCCTAAGTTCCTGCTTTCCCGAAATAACTATGGAACACCACTCACTCACCTGCTTTTTCAAGGACGACTTGTTGTCCCTGTCGGTTTTACCGTTTTGACTTGTTGATCCCTGTTGGTTTGCCTTTTGGTTGTCCTTGTCTCCGAGACAACAAACGCCAATCCCAAGTCCTTTTGGTTTTCCCTTTGGCTTCCCTTTCCTCCGAGGAAAAAACAACAACGACACACCCAAGCCCAAGCCCGCCGACGAACACGGCGGCGGCAGGTCTTCCTGGTGGCGCGGAAGCTGGGCTTCGGGGTGCTGCGGGATCTGCTGGAGGAGGGCGGGGAGGAGCCCAGCCGCTGGCTCCGCAACAAGGCGAGGGTGGTTTGGTTTGGTTTGGTTTGGCTTGGCTTGGTTTGGTTTGGTTTGGTTGGTTGGTTGGTTTGGTTTGGTTTGTTTTTTTTTTTTTTGGTTGGTTGGTTGGCTTGACAAAATAAAGGAAAGACAAAAAACCAAGAACACCTCTACCTTCCGGTTGGTTTGGGGGTGAGTTTAGGGTTGGGTTGGGGTAGAGTTTTGGTGTGGTTGGGTGGGCTTGGGGTTTTGGAGCGGGCTTGGGGTGGGTTTGGTTTGGGCTTGGCGGTTGAGGTCTTGGATAGTTGGTATTTAAGTTTTGTCGAACACCGGTTGAAGGGTATTTTGTATTTGGGGTAACTTGAGAAGTCGGTGCTTCCCCATTGGATTTCCCATCAAGGACATACCACCAGCCTTCTAATGGGCTGGGGCTCCCAGTGATTTGGGTGAATTACAGCCAGCTATACAGCCTGATGAATGTCTCTCGGGCATTCTTTATTTTGGGTCTGTGAATTATAGTGAATTTCCCAGCCTGTATGAGGGGCTGAATTATTATGAACATGTTGCTCCTATGATCATGATGTTTTGTTTCACAGCACATTCCAATCTGCGATTCACTACTCAGCAACTCAACCAGTCTTGATTTGCCCCGAAAAATCGTGTGTGTCAACTGAAACTCCCCCAACATACAATGGGCTTCGTTTGGTTTTCAACTGAACCCCCCCCCCCAAAAAAAAAAAGAAGAAGAAGCAACAACAACAGCCAACCCCAAAAAAAACACAAGAAACAACATCAATATAAAACATGGTTGGCTTCTTTCGGTTTCAACCCCAAACTCCCATACCCTCCACCCGAGCCACGCGGAGCGAAACTCCCCGACCGCCAGTCCCGCTGGCTCATGGAGATCCTCCGCACCGAGCGCCGCGGCCTGAAGCGCCTAGGCGCGGCTTCGCGTCTTCGCGGCGCGAAACTTCGCGGCGCGGGGCAAGCGCAAAGGGACCTCCGGGGCGGTGCCCTAGGTCCAGCTAGGTGTCCATAGGTGTCCTTTTTGGTGGTTTTGCCAGAAAAATAGATGGCGATTCCTGGTTTACCTGGTGGTTTCATCATCTACTAGGGCCATCTATTTCCCCTAAAAGATGTAGTGCCCCTTGACCGCTTCTTTTTTGGTTGGGAGGGTTCCCCTAAAATCGACTACAGAAAAAAGCTGGTACCCTTCTTGTAACCTCTCTACTGGAGGACCTAGTTCCCTTTTTGGAGCTTTTTCTTGCGGGGGGGGGGACCCCCTTGAAACAATCAGCGGCCGAAAAATGTTGCCTAGATTTTTCCTTTGGCCAGCGAAGGTCAGGCAAAAAGGGGATGGGGGCCTGATCAGTAGGTCAGGTTGCATAGAATCACGTGAGTGTGCGTGACGTTTCCCCAGATTGCTGGAAACCAGATGAACTTAGACATGGGAACGTACATTAAATTCTTCCACCACGGCCGTGTCCGAGTACCAGTCCTTTAAGGCTATGCTTTGCGATTTTTCAAGCGGAACCTCGTGAAAGACGTCAGCTAGCTTCTTGCCCTGGACAAGACTAGGTAGCAGCTGCTGAAGGTTGGTGGAATCCTAGGACGTACCCTGGACAAGGGAAATCAAACTGTGCAACGAACTTCAGAACGACAGAAAGGCATGTCCAATATTGCCTGCACATATATATCATATATCATACAAGTATGTGTACGTCTAGTCTTGTGTCGTTTTTTGCTTCTTGACAACAAGCCTGTCTCCGAAGCCTTGCTGCAAACTGGCAAGAAAGGGCAAAAGCAAAGACACAGTTTTTCCCGAACCTTCCCAAGAACGTTCAGACATGTCCGCACAGCACCGAACAGGTTCAGCAAAGACACGCGCGCTTGGGTGGTAGAGGTATCCATGAGCGCTTCTGCAAAGATTCAACAACTACGCGGCTCCTGTCTAATTTGAAGGATTTGCTTTTGCATTGGGGGCGCTTCTTAATTTGTGATTGCCTGAGCAGGTGTTTTCTGGCAAGTGAACTTGACTTGAGTTGTTAAGTAAACATTTGCAGAGATTGCGCCAAACATGACATGAGCCCCGAGTTATTTTTGTGCCATTGTGTGTCTTCATAAACAAAGAATCCCACGAAGTATCCCAAAAGCCTTGATACCTCCAGGAACCCTTTCAGGAACCTGCCCCAAATTCGCCCCAAACCAAGGATCGGCTATAGCTTCGCTGGGTAAAGTTGTAAGATGCTTTCCACCCGAACCGCTGTGTCAGGGGAACGTGGGTTCTACAACCACCCGGGTGGTGTTGCAATCTCCCATGTTTCCTGGGTCCTGATGATTCTAGGGTAGACAAATGCGCCAAAACATCCACCTCCCAAACCGCGACCAAAAACCAGCGACTACCAAAACGCGCCCCTTTCGGGCGCAGCCGGGGCGCCGGATTCCGGCAGGCGAGCGCCTGGATGACGCGCTGCAGGTGGGCGCTGGGACCCCAGAGTTGAGCACAGGAAGGGCAAAACAAGCAAGCCATTTTTCGGCGTTTGTTTTTGGCTTGCATCATGTTTAACATGTATTTTTGCATGCATCATGCTTATCTTCCTTTTTGTTTGGCTTGCATCGCGTTTTGCACATTTGCTTTTTAGAACATGCTTGTTGGGCTCCCTGTGGTTGCTTTGGGGGCTGGTGTTTATGGCAACGGAAGCAAGCAAGTGTCAAATACTTTTTCTGCGCACCTTTTATTGAGCTGGCAGGAGCTTATCCATGATGATCCTTGCAGGACTCCAAATTTCGGGTTTTTGAGTTACAGTACTGATCGATTTGGGATTGGGGAGACTCTGTTCGGTGGTTTGTTGAAAGGGATTCCCCAAGAAAGCCACTAATTTCGGAGACATTCGATGCTTTTGAACGGTTGGACCCTCGAAATGGGTTGGACACAAGACCCCGAAATGTTCACAGGGTCCCAGTCTCAAACTGCGGGACTCCAGGTTGGTTTCCGTGCTCTAAAACCACGAGGGGTTCACCGAGGCTCTGTGCAAAGGGACACTAGGCCAAGTTGACGAGTTTCAGGCGCCCTAGTCGTGCAAGCTGACAAGTGAATGCCCTGACAATATTGCCACCAAACAGCCAAACAACCAGCAAACCGATAGGACCCCGAAAAGAACCAGTACCATGATCATAATGCCCTTTAGATGCCAGTTTCGTCTCACCAAGAGGGTTTGGTCCAACTCCTTTGACGTGATCCCTTGTCCCACAAACGACCAACGCGAGCCACACGAGCGTTAGCAGTTCGGCTTGTCAGGAGGAATGCCAATGTGGCTTGCATCCTGTTGACTGGTCTTTCGCGCATTTGCCTGAAGAAGGCTGGCCGAAGTTTGAGCAACCGTGTTTTCAAGATTATTCCAGCTTTTGTTTTACAAGGGCCTAGGGGCTTGTCACACCCAAGAAGGCCATTGTGGAACGGTTGATTTTCCCCATTCTGTTCAGCCATCGTTCTTTTCAAAGCGCGTAGTTTGTCTCAGGCAGTCTGGCGGTTTTGTGGAAAGGATGCCTGGGTGCAGAATGGTTGGAAGTTTGGTGCAGGCAGTACGGTGATGTTTCTCGCCCAGGTCGAGGCCGACCACAGCGTCTTCAGATACGTCCTCTATGAGGCGCTCAAGGCAGGAAGTCCTGCTCCCCTTGTCCGTACTGTACGCTGGACAATGATGGACACTTCGCGTTTGTTCTTCGGTGCAGGCCCGAATCCTAAAGCCCAGTACCTAGTGTCCAACAGCCCCCCAAACGAGAGAGAGGAGAACCACATGTTAGAGTTGAGGGTCTCAAGGCTCCTTTTGGAGTTTGCGACGAATTCGCTCAGCAAACACGCCCTGCGATATCCAGCGCACCCGGCTTGCACAGAACATATGGTTCACTCTTTGTAGACTGCCCACAGTGGGAGCATATATAGTTTGACGGCTTCATAGGTCGGCCGCGAGTGAAATTATCGTGAGTGATCGTTGACAAAGCTTTGATCTCCAATGTTTGAGTTGGGCATCTCTTCGAAACAACTGCTAAACCGTACTAACACGGGGCGCTTCCCCCCTTCTCAGGCCCTGTTGATTGTTGAGTGCAAATCAACAAGAGACGCGACTGCGGCAAACCTAGGGGCTCTTTCGGGCACGGACTCCAAGGGAATCCCTTCTAACCTGAACATCGGCCTGGGTTTTCCCCAACAGCGGCTTCAAGGCTGGGGATGCTCCGAGAACGAAGGTTCTCATAGATTCAACCCCGCCCCCACCTTCCCCTTCCCCCTTTTTCCCCCAAGATACGTCCTTCTTTTTTTTTGCGTTGGTGTTAAAATTCTTAAGGTCAAATTGGAACGAAACCAGGGCGGCGAGAATACGTGGTCTCAGGGCGGCCCCAACCCCCGGTGGCAGGTCCCGGACTTCGAGTATGTGAGCAAATGGTTCGACAAGGCCGTCAGGCATGGCGTGGTCCCGGAGACACCCATCGCACCGCGTCAGAAGGGTGGGATGGATTTGGTCAATTGTGATATTTGGTTTCCTTTTTTGGTTGCATTTTAAGGTTCACCAAGTATGGAACAGAATCAAAACACCATTTGTTGGCTGGGCTAAAGGCTGAGATAGTCCAGAGGAGGGTCTTTGGATTTGTCCCAGTCATGTGTCCCCCTTGTGGAGCATTGATGCATTCCAGAGGTTTCCTGTACCGGCTTCGAATCAGCGGAGAAACTGCGAGATCCAAACATGCTGCGTTGCATGGTACACATCTTCTCGAGCGAGGGCTGTTTAGTCGATTCGACTGTGGCATGTGCAATGGTTTGTTTTCGAATGTGGCTGCCAGCCCGACAGCCCCACACGACTCAGTGTTTTGAAAGATGAACGTATTCAAGCCATGGTTGGGCAAAGTTGGCCAAAAGAATCCCCAGGTTGCCTTTAAGGGGAAGGAACAGGGGTCTGAACATGGGAAAAGCAATGGTCTCTCAGGAGATGGTGGCATGGTGGTCTGAGCATGTTTGAAGAGGATTAAATCGGCCCTGACCCACGCTTCCCTTGGTTTGATCCTGGCCTGCCGATTGCCAAGGTGAACCATATTATCGGCGAGGCCAGCCGTGCGGGGTGCTTTGCCGTTTGAGTTGTTGTGGAGCATGAGCCAGTCGGTCGCAGGTGCAGGAAATCAGTCTGGACAAACATCTCCCCGCCGGGCTGAGCCGATGTTTGCCACGGACTGGCCAGCTTGCACTGCATGTCAATCCTTGTCTCAGGTTTGCGCTACAGTCAAGACCGTGCTGTTGTGTAGATACTGGATGGATGGCTGGCTGGCTGGATGGACAGATTGCATGCCCGCATCCCCAGGTAGCTGGCAAAACAACAAATTCCCGGGTACTGTTTGGCCAATCCACTCAAGCGCGAAGCATTTTAGGGGCCCCAGTCGGAGAAGTTTTTTGCAGGCGGCTAAAGCCGAAGGCTTGGCCGCGGCCGAGGACTCGCCTTGGGGATGAAGGGGGACCAAAGGGTTGCAGTTGAAGCAGGTTCAAACAAGGGGTTGGCCGGATGTGCTTGTTGAAATGGATAGACAAGAACGAGCTTGGGGGGGACAAGACAAGGCAATGAAGGTCCTTCATGGGGCGCCTCATGTCTGCCTTCTGAATGATAGGATCTTTTCTGAGACATTGGAGAATCCATGTTCAAGGTAGTAAAAGTAGAGTCCGTGCTGTGGGCTTGGCGAATTGGGCGCACGACCCTGAACTCGCTCTTGCAGTCCCCCCGTTTTGCCTTCCAGGATTCCCACGCTCCCATTACAAACTGACCTTACATTTGGGACCATGCCAAAAGTAGGCACTCCTCGAATGACTCACGGGTGGGAATTTCCGAGTCCAAGCTGAAGCACCAAACGGCAGAACCCACGGGTGGCATCCGGCATTTTTTGTCAGATCGCACTCCCAGAGCCCCTGGGCCCTGAAGCAGAAATGGCGGGAGAGCAAGCCTGGGCTGTTTGGGGTCACTCAGGCAAAGTAATCTGACGA